TTGGCAGCCAAGATATTTCCCCGCCGAACCGACCTAATCCGGCTTTAAATAGGCTGGCCATGGTCGCTGTCGAGGATCATCGGAGGGAAGGAAAAGAAGAAGGTCGGAGTTTCGAGCTCAAGCCGGCGCCCGACGTGGCCGGAGCCGCTCCCGAGCTCTCCTTACCAAGGTCACCGCGCAGGAGCCCCGCTACCCAGCCAGCTCCGCCCGAGGCCGAGCACCGCCGCGCTCGCGCTTGCTGCCAACGCCGCTCGGCCGCTGCCGTCGCAGCACCGAGCCACCGAGGCCGCCGTCGCGCTGCCCTGCTCCCTCCTCCCCATCCTCAGCTCCGCGCTCCCTCTCTCTCCCTCCATCCCTCCTCTTCCTTCTTCTCTCTGCTCTGTTCCTGCCGACCTCGCCGCGACTCCACCAAGCAGCGCCGCCGCCCAGACGGCCCTGCACCTCTGCCGCCGCCCGGTGCCCTTCTTCTTCCCTGCTTCCCCCTTCTCTCTCCCTCCCCTCTCTCTCTCTCTCTTTCTCTCCCCTCTCTCGCTCTCTCTGTTTCTTTCCCTCTATCTTCCGAGGCGCAGCGAATGGATGGGAATGGATGAGGACGCCGACCGAGTCCTTCAGGGCTACTGGTGACCACGTTGCTTCTTCCAATAGGAGCACGCCATGTCACTACGGTGGGACCCGGATGCAAGTGGCTTGAACCCCTCTTTCAGGCTTGGCTCACGTGAACCACACTCAGCAACGCGAGTTCACAGAACAGCGCATGAGCGAGTCCACCGATCGGCTCACAAGCACAGTACCGGTTAGCTGGACAGCTGACTGGACCCACGCGTCAGCAGACAGTGAAACTGCTACGTACACACGGAAATTGTACAGAGGATATTAAAAGGTAAGCTTTTTAGTTATAGAAAATTTCTCAGAAAATTTCTAAAATAAACTAGAGTCACCCTAGATCATACCTAGATTATTGCCACTCATTTTCATTAGCTAAAATTGTAGAAATAATTTGCATGCTACTTTCCATTCGTGTTTAGCCGATAAACTTTAATAATTTATATCTCGCCCGTGTTAATTCCGAATTCCATAATTCTTTCGCTAAAAATCTTTTAAGATAAAATCGTACATATTAAAATGTCTTTTCCTAATTTTTGGTGCCCGTTTAAATTCTAGATATGTTTCCTTTTCATTTATTTAAAAACTAACCGTAGTCATAGCCCATCCCCGTAGTAGTAGTTGACCCTGCATATTCGCGTAGGTGCATGTACCATGCCACCTACCCGAATATGTCTGTACCCAATCACCTAAAATAGTAACCATCCATATATATACATACATGGATATACCCGATACCCAGGTATACACCTATGTATGGCTAACTTTGCTTTCCATCTTTTTTCACCCAAACTAAACTTGGACACATACATATGCATGCGCGTATGTGTCACTAATCCGGTGGACCTGTAGAAGCCAGATGGGTCATCTATGATGACTTGGTCAAGCTTCCTCTTTCAGGTTTACATAATAGTGAAGCCTAATAATGTGGTCTGGTTTTCTACCAGATCACCACCACCTTAACCTAATCCATAAAAGCCCTACCCTATGGACGAAATCCCTTCATCCAAACCTTACTTCAAATTGACATAATAATGATAACCTTAGACAACAATCAATCACCCAATAGGACCAACCCATGTAGGATCGATTCTTTCACCTTGATTACCAATGCTTGTTTTACATGTCTTGCTTGTTATTTTTCTTGTTTGTGTTTTGCTTGTCGACGCTAGACCACGCAGGATAGAAGACGTGGAGAGAACCCGATAGAGTCCAGAAGACAGGAACAGGAGGCATAGGAATCGGAGAAGGATATAATCGTCAGTGAATGGAGGCAAGTCCTAACACCCACCTACTCCTTCCCTCTACATTACATGCCATCCCTTAACCACCCCCCTTTCACCACCACTACATCATGCTAGCCTCCACAACAAACCCTTCACCTTTCCATCCCCACTAATTAATCAACTTAACCTATAGTACTTAAATTCTCTCTTATGAATTAATGGAGTTATAATGGATCATGAGCTCGGTTATGATAATGTGAACATTGATGATAATTATCTTGATATGATATAAGTTTGACTATGGTATTGTGATGAGGTAATGGTTACCTTGATATGAGATGAGCTCTATGAACCTAAGGTTAATAACTATGGAACTTAAAACTGGTAAAACTGGACAAAACCCTGATAGGGGGTGAGTGGGGGTAATTTATGGAGGTAAATTACCTTGGCAGGATCACCTGGTGAGGAATTCCTGTGGGAGATACTCGCCTCGGTCATATAAGGACCGGTTCGTAGTCCCTCTCACCTAGTGAGATATTACGTACAGCCACATGTCTATATGGGTAGACTTGATCTCACACCCGTTAGATAGAAGTATAATTTCTACTAGGAGACCGGTGTTGGCAGCGGAATATCAGGAGCAGGCACGGATACTATGTGATCTTCTATGGCCTGGTTGGTGCGGTTGCTATGTGATCCTCCACGTTAAGCCCTTTGATTTTTTGCCGCGTTCGAGCCCATGTTATTGTATGTTTGGCCGTGTTCGAGCCCATATTATTGATGATTTGATATCATCGGCACTATTATGTTGGGATGATTTGGTATCGTCCGAGATTATATGATGGGATGATGTGGTATCATCTGAGATTATGAGATGGGACGATTTGGTATATCCTCCCGAGTTTAGTGTGTTTTCCAACCCCAGAGAAGCTGCGGTAGAGTTATATGGACATCTAAGGTCGCGTACATTTAGGTACGGGATCTCGTTAGACCTGTCTAAGCCATGACGATGGTGTCGGACTGTGTCTATCATGTGGGAAAATTTGTACACCTCTGTAGAGCTTATTGAATCTATTCGAATAACCACGTCCTTGAAATGGACAAATGCTGGAATGAGATACTATGATTAGACTTCTAAAATAGTGATAATCTGGTAAGACGCATTTTACTAATCTGGTAAATTATAACTAACCCCGGGAACCGGTGAGAATGGTAGTACTCTGCTAGGGCCCAACCTATAATTATAATTACTTTATCCTACCACTTTTATCTCAACCACCTCCACATATAGCCTTCCTCTTCCACCTCCCCTCCACCCAAAGTTTAGGGCTTGTTGAGTACTTTATGTACTCAACCCTCTCCATTCTATGTTTTTAGAAGTAAAGCTACATGAGCACATATCAGGATGGAACTATTGAAGCTACGCGAGGATAGGACAATAGAAAAACGTACGAGTATATATGGAGCTATCGAGAACTACGCAAGGATAGGACACCCGGAGTATACTCGAAGACGGAGCCGTACAGCTACACGAAGGAGCTACGCTAGGACTACAACGATTGGAATATAGGAGTACGCTGAAGGAATAAGTTTAGGGTTATGTCCGCACTCCAAGTTGCCTGTAGGAATGGAGCCACGTTGATATAGAACCGCTGTCTTAGAACTCTAATGTCTGCTATAAGGCCAATGGCCCAAGCCGTGTAAACCCGAACCATGTAATATATTTTTCTCCATTAGCAATAAAAGTATGGTTTTGATATCAATCTTGTTCGATTTGTGCATATCAGCTACTGATCTAGGGACTGATACATGATGCACAGAGGACCCTAAATTAGGAGCCCGACATCGACGGTGGTGGCTATGACTATGATTGCCGACAGCTTACTACCGAGGCCAAAATCGGATTGTGATAGGGATTACGATGTGGTTGTGAAAGGTGCGAGTGTACTAGTGAAGCGAGGACATGGACGTGGTCGAGAGGGAGAGGCTCAGGCAGACGCGGGTCTCGCTCCATCCTCCTACCTGGTTTCTCCGTGAGAGCTGCAGTGGAAGATGCAAGTCGCACCGGTAGCGGATGGCGGCCCGGTAGTGTGCATCGAGCAGGGCATCCCGGCGGCTCGAGCAGCGTGTTACGGAGGCGCCTCACGCGTGGCCAGCCGCCGGTGTCTCTCTCGCGGGCCCGCGGTGGCTCGAGCAGGGCGGCCCGACGGCTGCTCGCGCACAGGCGCGCGTCAGCTCAAATAGTGCGGCCCGACGGTGACTCGCACGGCGCCGCTCATGGGTCTGCTCCTTGTCGCGGCTCTAGCAAATGCCCCCTTGGCCGCGGAGTCGGGGGCCGATGTGATCGAGCTCCCAGAGTCGGGCGCCGGCGGCGTCACAGATGACTGGGCACAGGTTCTTCCAGGGGGCGGAGGTGGCGGCCATCTGTGCCTCCAACATCCTCAGTGCCCACGGCCGCCACTCCCGCGTCGTGTGCCACCAGCTCGGCGCGCCCCTCCGCGCACCAGCACAGCCGCACAGGTGGTCTAGCACCGACATTGACGAGCCAGCATCCTGCGGCGGCGAGGCGGTGGCCACGCGGCTGCTCCAGCTGGTGCTCCCACCGGTGCTGTACTGTTGGAACAGAGACCGAGCTCTGCTCCTGGATCAGCGACGGCTCCACAAAGCCCGTTTCCATCAGATCGTTGTGGGACGCGCAGCACGTGCCGTCGTGGCGGGGACAGACTCCTGACGGTCACGGCGTGGCCAGGGCACATCACCTGCCACCCATGAATCTACGCCCAACAAAACTAACTGCGACTCTACTCAAAACTTTCAATGGGATTACAAAAGACTTTGCATGACTCAGAACTAAACTTCTCATGTAGGTGCTCTGCTTCATCGACCTGTCTCCGTACGTGCTCCAGCGAGAGATGGGGCACACAAAGTAGCAGGCCCAGTTGCCTGCCCCAGCGCCCTCTTCTTTGCTGGATCCGTGGTCAGGGGCAGCGCCGCCCGGCGTCCTTGAAGTCGTAGGCCACCGCCCCAGAACCTCGTTGCTCCACCACAAAACGCTTGAGGCTCATCTCCTCCCCCGCAAGCGCCACGGCGCCGCCGCCGTTCCCGCAACGATGACCTGCCGCTCCATCATGCGTCGTGCCAAGCTTCCGCAGCGCCGACTATAGGGTGCAGATGCCGACGGGCAGCCCGCTCAAGGACATCATCAGGGTGCTCGTCGCCGCTGTCAGGAAGCGCAACGTGAGGATGGAAAGGGACGATGGCGCGGTGGTGCTGCTCAAGGAAGACGACGCCAACAACGACGGCGAGCGGCAGCTGCTGTCACGCACCAAGGGTCTGCGGTGCCTTGACAAGGCTGGCGCGATCGTCGTCAAGGACGGAGACACGGAGCAGGAGGGCGAATGGTCTCTGTGCACTGTGAGCGAGGTGGAGGGCATGAAGATCCTGGTGCGGATGCTGCCCATCTGGGTGACGTGCGTGCTGTACGCGGCGCCGCTGGGGCAGATGACCACTACCTTCATCCAGCAGGGGATGGCCATGGACACGCGGGTGGGCGGGCGGTTCAAGGTGCCCGTGGTGTCGCTGGTGTCTGTCGAGGTGGTGTTCATGCTCCTATGGGTGGTGTTGCATGACGCCGCCATCATTCCGGCGGCGCGGCGGCTTACGGGGCGCCCCGGCGGGCTGACGCAGCTGCAGCGCATGGGCGTGGGGCGGTTCCTGGTGGTGCTGGCCCTGGGACGGCCGCGCTCGTCGAGAGGCTTCGGCTCCGCGCCATCCACGGAGGGAGCGGGCCGATGACTATCGCGTGGTAGGTGCCGCAGTTCGTGCTAGTGGCGGGCTCCGACGTCTTCTGCGGGATCGCGCAGCTGGAGTTCTTCTACGGGGAGGCCCCCACCGCGATGCGCAGCATCTGCTCAGCCTTCTCCTTCCTGGCGCTGCCACGTAAGCAAAACCAGCGCCATGTAGGCAAAACCAGGTGCCCAAAACCGTCCAAGGGTAAAATGGCTGGTTTTACAAAGTTTAATGTGTTAGATACCCGGTTTTATAGGTTGGAGGGTTAAGTAGACCACACACGATACATCAGAGGTTATTTAGATTTTTTCTTATTTTAATATGTACTTAGGGATGCAAGGCAGGTTGTCTACAACCCTGCAAATACACTGAACTATGCTGGTTAACTAACCTACAAAAAATTAAACCTATTTATGTGTTCACGGATAACCCACCTTGCACTTTACATGTACTTTTACTATTTATTTAATTCGTCGAGGCTAGCAGTCGTTGAGATTGAATGCAGGAATAGGTTCTAGTTGTACTAAGGGCCTGTTTGGTTCCCAGCTCCTAAATTTAATCAGCTGAACTACCTCCTAAATTTTAGTCAGGCAGTGTTTGGTTTGGTGGACTAATTGTGACTAAACTTGACATGTGCATGTTTAGATGACCAAAACGCCCCTAAGCTCCTGCCCCTGGCATTTGGCCGCCGCGGAAGGGGAGGAAGGACCATCAGCCGACGGAGAAGGGGAGGAAGGAGAACTGGCCGACGGAGAAGGGGAGGAAGAAGTGCCTGCCTGCCGGTGAGCTCCAACAAGATCCGGTCAAGATAAGCTTGACGCGCGAGATCCGGTGAGCCCCGTCCCTAGCGCGCGCGGCCGGCCCGGTAAGCTCCAGCGAGATCCGGTGCCGTCCTATCCCCAGCGCGTGCAGCCGGCATGGTGAGCACCGGCCACGGGCGGTGGTGGCGCCAAGGGCTCTCGTCATGCATGCGTGCCTGGAGCCCCGGTCTTGAGCGGGTGCGGCGAGCGGCTTGGCGGGTGGTGCAGCGAGCGGCTGAGCAGGTGGTACGGCGGGCGGCTATGCGGGCAGCAGCGAGTGCAGGGCCGAAGCCCGGCCACGGGATAGGGTTGGCGCTCGGGACAAGACAATTATGAGGGGCACCACCTGTCCAGGGCTTTTAGTCCCTTTTAGAAGCTTTGGGTGACTAGTTGGCTAAATACTATTTAGTCATATTTAGTTAAAGTGTTTGGTAAAAAAGTTACTAAAAAGACTAAATCTACTAAATTTAGAAACTGCTAGGTAAGCCAAACATCCTAAAAAAGGCCTTCATCACCTAACCACTTCCACTTCCACTCCCTCCTTATTTTTCTGCAAACTTTCTTTACTTGCTCCACTAACAGTGCCCACCTACCTAAATAGCTGTCTGCTCCGTATGGGAAAAATAAAGATGATGACCAAAATCCTATGCACGGTCTTTATTTCATGGACTTTACTGTGGTACCTCCAAATAACTGTACACCAATGATATGAATGGTTATTAGTACTTCCTAAAGGTAATATAAGAAATATATATTTATTTCTATTTTTAGTTTGAGAAATAGAAAAAAATAAGGAAAATATCTACCAAACAAATCTGACGTGCATGCATATGCACGCTGCCGATATTTCCCAGAGTCTAGTATGTAAGTTTTTTAGTTGATGGATTAATTATTTCTATGTGTAATAATTTGTATCCCAAAGTGTGTTACTTGAACTTGATTTTTTTTGAAATCTGACCTATTTAAGGTTGCAGGTCTCACATGAGTCATAATATTTTTTTTTCGACAAAAGAAGAATTATATTAGATAATAGCTGGGTATATCAACACGTTACAAGCACTCTAGAAAACACTACATATATCTAGAAACTGAATTTCATCTAAATTGTACCCACGCTATGAATAACTCCAAATCTCAACACCAAACCTGTTGGACGCTTTGTATAGATGACCGCACAGGCAAACACTCGGCAGCCGGCCTGAGAACAAATGCCCGACGAACGACGGCCAACATCCCTGCAGGCGGAGTTATACATATTTGTGTAACATGCATCCATAATTAAGCTATGAGTCTTTTATTTAACATACATCCAGTGTACGTATTCTTTATGTGTGAAGATAAGGACATATTCATGGTGCAACGTGACTAATTTTCATGTTAAGAATGTGTAATAGCTTCACGTCATCACGTGTGGCATATCCATACATTTGTGGTGGATGTTAGACTCTAAAATCAATTTCAATTATTTGCTATCTTTTAAAAAAGATATTCATGTATGTTTCCTTACTGGTCAATGGTGAGGATAAGGAAGGATGGCTTTGTGAGATAAAGAAGGATGTCCGATGAGATCTGTAGCCTTTTAAAAAAAAAATAATTTAGTTATTTAATTACTTATTTTTGCGTGGCTTTTAAAAATGAAGGGCTGAGATTCTTTTTTTTTTTTTGACATCTTTACTTCTTATTATGAGGTAAAGGGGGTACCATAGTAAGTACGAAGTTTGATGACCTACAACTTGAATACTTTGATATATAACGAAACATACATATAGATATAGACTAGTTAAGTAACATTGCTTTATGATTTTGGTGTGTATCGGAATCAGTTTTTGAACATGTCTGGAACAATAGATGAGTTCTTGCTGTGCTGAAAATGTACGAGCTGGATATTTTTTAACTTTCGTTGTCTGCTTAGCATGTGTACATGAAAGCTCTAACAATTTCATGACAGTGGATCAAAGGTGTACTAATATGTGCATATAATATTCTGCCCTGGAGCTAGTAGTTTGATAGGAAAATCTAAACCTAAGACATCACAAATGTTCAGTTGAGTGCGTTTTCAGTTGAACCATCAGAAGATTTAGGTGATCAGTCTTGACTGCTGTGCTACCCATTGCTCAACAGCAACCACAAACAGGTAGTTTACTTTTGCTCCAGAACACTAGTTACTTAGTGCAGCTAGCACGTCTTCCAGAGGCATCTTACCGATTATGCATTGCACGGGGACGGGTCAGCTAGCTGCACTGACAAATAAGTGGCATATAATTAAGACTGCTCTGCACTTTTGTTTCTCAAAAAACTGATCCAAATGGTTTAAGCTATGGTTGTGTTGATATATGGTTGAGCCACCAGCAGTGATGTCAAGGGAGGGATTGCTGTTGTTCCAACGACATGTACCTACTTTCCCACTGTCTCCAACAGCTAGCTTTGTGGTTGGTTGGAGCTATAAGTTGCAGCAACTGAGGCAGTTCTCAACTAATTTTCCATCCTGAATTTGGAGCTGGGCCTCTTGTCTCTTGCTTGGATTCTACAAAATCCAGTTGCCTGCCTTTGTTTACTCAATTTTGCAGCTGAAATCACAACCTATCTCCTCTGTCTTGTGAGTAACTTTTCTTTATTTCTTTTCCCCCCTGCATGTAGTTAGCTCCTGGTTCTTGTTTCAAGGATGGATTGCTTGATTGTGATTTGATCTGGTTTGGCCTCTTGTCCTCTGTTTCCACTTCGCTATGATGTATGATTCTTGTTTCTGGTTATTGCTTGATTGTAATTTGCCACTTTTACCATGCGTATGCAATGCATAAATCAGAAGTAGGATGTGCATCCATCTGATCTGAAATGACAAGATTTCCACTGTTACTGCTATGTGTCCCTCCGAATTCCATTTCACATGGATGCTGGGTCATGTTTCTACTACAGCAAGCAAGCAGAAGGATTCATGGTGCGGCTGCTGGGCCTGCCTGGGCATTCATTCATTCATTAAAGGACACTGATCTAAGCATGCATGTTCATGCTGTTATGTTCCCTTCCTTGCCAGCAGAGTACTCGTGGCTTGTCTGTTGATTAGATCCATATCCATTCATAAGACTGCAGATTTACAAATTATATTTAAGAGAGATTTCTACTTTTGTCCTGCAAAACGAACAGTTTTTGTATTCGCTGTTACTATGGGCTTGTAGTACGTACAGTTGAATAACGTGGTTAGCAGCAGCAGCAGAGCAGTCGCTCACTCAAAAAATCCTTTGTCACTCTGCTGCTTCTTTGTTCGTTGTTGAGTGGAGTGCAGTAGCAGTAGCAGTAGCAGTAGCAGTAGCAGAGCAATTTCTGTTTCTGTTTCTATTTCTATTTCCATCAGCAGCCAAGCCAACCATCTAGTATTTCTCTTTATCTTGTGTTGGCCTTGGGCAGCGAGGTCAGGAGGGAGCAGGAGCATCTGCACTGCTTATCTGGATCACATCACATCAACCAACCGAACAAGCATGAAGCAACAAGTTCCAAGCAGCAACGGCCATGGCAGCAGCATCCATTCCACGTCTCAGGCAGCTGTGCCGCAAACTCGGTCTCGGGCATCAAGAGCACCACCACCCAAAGTCAAGCAACCTCCTGCTACTCCAGGCCCAGGGGTGAAGGCCAGACCAAGACCGGCCGCAGCCGCCACCACCATGGCAGCAACGAGGAGGCAGGCTGCTGTGTCTATGCCTATGCCCGTGAGGAGGGTCATGATGAGCACCACGGAGTCGGAGACAGTAGAGGACGAGGTGGTGCGGCTGCGCGGGGAGGTGGATGCCTTGCGGAGGGAAGTGCAGCGCCTGCTCCGCCTCAACGCAGACCTTCAGCACCAACAGCATGATGCTGCAACCAACAACAGACCACAACCTTCCAGCAAGATTTCGATTTCCGGAGGCGTCGTCGTTGCAGCGCCACCGCCGCCCCCACCGCCACCGCCACCGCCACCGCCTCCGCCGCCACTGCCGCGGCACCAAAACCAGCGAGTCCCTTCAGCTCCGGTGAGCAAGGCCACTGCGCTGGTTGACATGTACAACTCGCTGCAGACCGGCAACAAGAAGGCGTCAAAGCACACAGACCAAAGCAGAAGCCATCATCACCATAGCAGCATTGTCGACGAGCTGCAGAACCGCTCCAGGCACCTGCTAGCGGTGTGTCACACACCATCCTTTCCGGCCCTTTGTGTTCTTTCTGGAATTATTATTATATAAGTTCGCTCTCAAAACAAGACAGTATACCCACCATTATCTCTTTTCTCAATCACATACTATTATATATATACTACGCAGATCAAAGCGGATGTGGAAACAAAAGCAGAGTTCATCAACCATCTCATCAACAAGATCCACACTAGTACTTACACTGGTGTGGAACAAGTAGTCACCTTTGTGGACTGGCTGGACCAACAACTTTCTACTCTGGTAAGATAAGAGTTTTTATTTTTATTTTTATTTTGGCACCAAAAAAGAGAGGATAAAACCTCCATCTATATGTACCGTGCTTGGGGTGCATTGATCTACGCTTGCTACCAATGTACGTAATTCCCATTTTTGTCAGTCTGATGAGACAGCCGTCTTGAGGCACTTCAACTGGCCTGAGAGGAAAGCTGATGCACTTCGTGAAGCGGCATCTGAATACCGACACCTCAAGTGTCTTCTAACAGAGATCTCTTCCTTGAGAGACGGAGACGATGGTGGTAGTGGTAGTGAGGCGACAGCCACTCTCAGGAAGATTTCAAGCTTGCTAGACAAGTACGTGTGGCAACAGCAGTCTTCAATAAATACTTTGTACAAGTATATTTTTTTTCAATGCCATTGCCACCAAACTCAAGATAGATATATATGAGCCCTATTCGATCTGCTCTTCAGATTGGAGAAGAGCATGGGCAGATTGGTGAATCTAAGGAGATCGGTGATGTCGTCCTACAAAGAGTTGAGGATTCCGACTGACTGGATGCTTGATTCAGGGATGGCCTCAAAGGTTATTATCTCTCTAGCTCTACTTATTATGGTCTCCTCCTGTTTCCGATGCTGGATAGATAGGTAGATTGATATCTGCAAAGCGAATAAACCATCAATAACAGACATGTTAAGTACCTATTGGGCTGTGCAGATGAGATTGGCATCGGTGTGTCTGGCGAAAATGTATACCAAGACAGTCCTTAAGGAACTGGACTGCAGGGATACAGCTGGGACTGGGAACGAGGCTGCTCTGGTTGCTCAAAGTGTGCGCTTCACCTACAGGGTCCACCAGGTCAGTTTGCTGCTCAAAATGTTGATTGAGAAACCAACCTCAACCTGATGATTGTTTGCTTTGCTACTCTATATGTAGTTTGCTGGGGGACTTGACTGCGAAGCAATGCATGCCTTTGAAGAGCTAAGAAGGCGGGTTCAGCTGGTCTCTACATGAACATGGTGGAGCCAAAACCCTACCCTATTCCTCTGTTTCTTGATAATATAACAATATGTAGCGCCTAGTTCCTTCTGAGTCTTCCCTTTTCTATTCTCAATGTGAAATCAAGTCTTGTCAGAAATGGAGAGGGATACAATCATGTTGTGATTTCTCATCATGTATGAAAAATCTGTCTATCCATTGATTTTAGCCTGTTCGGCTGCTCCACTCCAAGCTTGTTTCAGCTTATTCTCTCTCACAGAACACTATTGAATCAGCCGAAATCAGCTGAAACTGGATCAGCCAAACAGGCCGGTATGTCAAGTACATTTGCATAAGAAAAATGTAGGTCTATTAGTATTACAACAACTAGTCCATCAACCCGTGCACTTGCACGGGCTAGTGATATGTAAATTATATATTCTTAAAAAAATTTCTATAAATAAAGCACTTTTCATACTTAATAGGTCATGAAGAAATAAAGTTCATATATTTATCATAACATAAGTAAGGCATATGCAAATTAGCATTCCAGAAACCATACAAATATTATATACAGATCTAAATGAAATGCTAAAATATTTGACTTACACATCTCAATGAGTTAGCTGTTGCATGCTCATAGTTTTTCGTTATAGTATAGTAGAAGGACCCTTACAATTCATAAATACAAAAAAAAAACTGCACCCTTAATAAAGACATTCATCTGGAGGATGATTAAAGGGTGATTGCTTGATAAATACAGGTAACAATAATCGGCCCGCCAAATTTATGCATCCATTTTGGGTACACTTTTAAGTGCTACTGATTTTGATTTTGTTTCCTAAATTGTGAATTTTGCAACGCATTATTACCTTTTTTTTATAAAAAAGTGGCTAATGTCCTATGTTATACCATGCCCTCCATAATCTCATAGGCAAAATAACACAATAGTAACCATATATTCTGTGGAATTTTAATGTGATTTTAATTAATTAATGTTGTTTTGAAAGTGACTAATAACATACCTCCTTATCTCCATGAGCCCTCCTAAACTTAATCTCCCATATGCTCGTATAGGGTGCATCCAAACAAAAAATTCCCCTTAAATACTTCTGTTATCCAACAGCTTTCCCTATCTCAAATAACATATATGGTGGATAACATATGACTATAAATTTAAGGGAAACCAAGGAAGATTTAGGCTACCACTAAGTATAAGATGTTGGATAGAGAAACTATTAAAGGGTGATTTTTATTGCACAGTAGACCTTAATTTTGACTTTAAAGAGGTTGGATAGGAAATCTCTTGGATCGAGATGCTCTGCAACATATTGCTCCATCCAAGACTGGCTGCACTATTGTTTGGTTGGCTGATCAGTAAAGCACTTTTCCTAAGTTATTTAATTATAAGTGATTATATTAACTTAGGTAGTGTTTGGTTAGGTGTATATATAGAGGTGGATGGGATGGATAATCCTAGATGGATAGAGGATGGATGAGACAATTCTGTATGAGATGGTATGGTTTGATTGTTTGGTTACGTGTATGGTATAATACATGACTTTTGTTTGGATGGCTATATCGAATGATGCGAGTTAGTACAAGATTATGTTTGGTTAATTGTACTGGTCCATCTAAGATCTTTCATTTGTAGGACACATTTGTATAAATTTATTAGTACGCATGCAACAATAGTTAAAAAATAATAGATGGATTTAAGAAAGAGAAGTCACCGTTAATTTACATCATATCAATAGGCCCCTACAATAATCACTTCTGATAGTGCCATGTAGATGGAATGCATATAACAAAAGTACACTCGTTCTTCGCTACTAGATGCATTCATTTCCTGTGTGCGTGCAGCTACGAGCTGGCTCTCCGTCTGACAGTAGCCACGCGCGCTCCAGCTTGACGAGGCAGAAAAAGAAGATGGTGTCGGTCGGTGATTTCTGCCGCACAGGACGATACAGCATCGATCGAGAATATTCCGTGGCTTTGAATCGTTCGGTCATGGATGGATTCATTCAATCCAGCAACCAAACGGTAGCACAGGTGGGTCCCAGGCACCTATCCAAGATCTACCGATGCATGTATGGATAGGATAGGTACTATGTAGGTGCGGATTTTAGCTTTTCCCCATAAAGTAAATGATTAGGAAATATAATACTTCAGTTATTAGATTAGATAAATTGGAGGCCAACGGGAGCATCCGCGTGGATTCGGCTACTACCGTTTTGACGCCTGACAATCTTCTTCTGGCTCAAATCCCTTTTTCATATCCATGGCAGGCTTTAGGTACGCTTTAGTTTGAAATCATTAAAGATATGCTCGACCTCATTTATGTCTATGGTACCATGGTACGTACCTTCTACTATCAACCAGATGAGATAGGGCTTTGAAAGGTTAAAGTCAGTCTCCTCTTTCTTTCACGTCGTTTAGCAGTTCTCCAACCAGCTTTCTCCCCGATAAAGCCTTCTTGAGATTAAAAGAAAAAAGTTTGAAGGTTGATCTCTAGGATCAGTGATAGTTCGGAACCAGCAAAGGGAGGCTGAAAAGCCGTAGTGCTAACGCACGGCCTGTAGTTTTGAAGCAGGCTTCGACAGCTGTGAGCTCCGCGTCGAAAAGCGAAGCGAGTCGCGCTAGCGCGCTCCTCTTCCTTTATGAGCGAGACTCTATCCAAATCTACTGATCTAAGAACTCCGCGAGTGAACTGAGCGAGCCATGAGGCGCCTATCGGCAAGGCTTGGAAAAGCCTTAAGTTTAGGCTCCCTTCCTTCATTGAACTGATTCACCCAGGTCCAAACCTGCTGAGCTAGCTAATTTTTCCTTTACGAGATCTCGGCTCTTCGGAATGATTGGAGAGAGCCCCGCCGCCTCTTGGTTGGTGCCGGGCCCAGGACTACTTCCTGAAAGAGCCTTTCGTTCGGGCCGGCAGGAGGGGCCCTGATCTATCAATTGAGGGAGCAAAAAATAGGCTTTGCTCCCCTTTTTTAAAATGAAGAAAGAAAGAAGGGTCGAAGTTTAGACCGCTCACAGTAGTTCTACCCATAGAAAAGATCATGAAAGAGGCGATCAGAATGGTACCCGAATCCATTTACGATCCCGAGTTTCCAGGCACATCGCACTTCCGCTCGGGTCGAGGCTACCACTCAGCCCTCAGATGGATCAAAGAAGAGTGGGGAACCTCTCGCTAGTTTTTGGAATTCGACATCAGGAAGTGTTTTCACACCATCGACGGACATCGATTCATCTCAATCTTGAAGGAAGAGATCCATGATTCCAAGTTCTTTTACCCCACTCAGAAATAGTTTTCCGACGGACGACTCGTAGGAGGTGAGAAAGGCCCTGACTCCATCCCAAAGAGTGTACTACTATCGGCCCTATTAGGCAATATCTACCTACACAAGCTCGATCGGGAGATAGGGAGGATCCCGAGAGTATACGAAATTCTCTCTTGTAGTGAAAATAAGATCGGTTCTATTAAGAATAGGTCGTCGATTGATGACCAACAAAAGTATGGAAAAGAAGCAAGCTTCAACGCTCCCCAAGACAATAGAGCCCTCATAGTGGGGAGGGTAAAGAGCATCCAACGCAAAAGCGACCTTTCATTCCCTTGTTTCGTCGTGGCACCCCCCACAAGCACCCCTAGGCGAAGGGGAGACCGAAAACGCATGCTTCGTTTTCCCTCCTTCAACAGCCCTAGCCACCTTCCTTAACAAGCCCTCGAGCCTCCTTTGCGCCGCTTTCCTCATAGAAGCCACATTTGGGTTGACCTCAAGGCCGAATTCAATGGTAGAGAAGGCTTTAATAAGAATTTGGCCATGAGAGACCTTCTTAAGTATTGCAAAAGAAGGGGCTCATTGATAGAGCTAGGCGGGAGGCGATACTAGTTATCAGGCCAGAGAGAGGCCTGGCCCATAAGCTGGTCCCCTTTAAAAGCCATTCCTTATTAATAAGGATTTGTTACGCGCGATATGCTGATGACTTACTACTGGGAATTGTGGGTGCTGTATTTCTTCTCATAGAAATACAAAATGTATCACCCACTTCCTACAATCCAAACTGAACCTTTGGGTAGGCTCCACAGATCAACAACCATAGTCTGCACGGAGTACGGTAGAATTCCCGAAGACGGTCATTCAGAAGTCCCCCGAGGACGACTCCCATACAATTCTTGCGAGAGTCGGAGAAGCGTCTACGGGTAAAGCACCGTATCCATATAATCGCACGCCACCTACGCTCCGCCATCCATTCCAACTTAAGGGACCTAGGTTATAGTATCCCTATCAAAGAGTCGGCGAAGGGGATGAACGGAAGAGGTCGTCTACTAGACGTGGTTCAACTAGCGGAGACTCTTGGAAAAGATGGACTAAAAAGTCCCCAAGTTAGCATATTATGGGGGATCGTCAAGCACATCCGGCAAAGATCAAGGGTGATCTCGTTGTTGCATAGCTCAAGTCGAGCAAGGTGCCATCGAGCGCTCAACAGCGATCTCACGATCGGGCATGAGTATCTGAAGAATAAATTGTATACTCCCTTTGGTCGGAAAGGCGGGGAAGGAAGGGGCACTTGGGTGGGATCTTTCAACAATGAATTCCCCATATAGATAGAGGTGCCTATCAAAAAGATACTTTCAAGGCTTGGGATCGAGGTCTCATTAGTCGAAGAAGACCAGTGCCAATCCACGTGGCCTCTTTGACCAACGTTAGCGACAGAGACATAGTAAATTGGTCCACGGGCATCACGATAAGTCCTCTGTCCTACTACAGGTGCTGTGACAACCTTTACCAAGTCCAAACGATTGTCAACTACCAGATCCGCTGGTTCGCTATATTCACTCTAGCCCACAAGCACAAATCTTCGGCGCGGAATATAATCCCAAAGTACCCCAAAGACTCAAATATAGTCAATCAAGAAGGTGGTAAGACCCTTGTAGAGTTCCCAAACAGCATAGAGCTTGGGAAGCTCGGACTCGGTCAAGATCTGAACAACAACGGAGCACTCAACTACATGTTTAATAAGTAGTTGTCTTTTTC